ACGCCGTGGCATACACGTGTTTTCTGCATCAAAGTGCACAGTGCGCTAGCAAGGGAAAAACAGAACAAAAAAATAAATACGAAGCCAAATGGCGAAGCGGAAACGTACATGCCTGCTCACAAAACCGAACAAAGTCGAAAACGATTCACATGCTCTCTCACTTGGCTGTAACAAGGTGAGGTCGTCGCTGTCACCGTGTCCTCCCCGTTCCCGGTCGACTCGAGGGCGTCACCACTGCTGCCGCCGCTGCCATCGCCGCCGTTGCCGTTCCCCGCCGCCACGACCATCATGAGTTCCAGCGTCAACACGGCTGCCGGTGACGTCGCTACTGCCGCCTCTACCACCGCCGCCGTTGTCGCCGCTGCCGCCGACGGGGCTCTGGCCAAAGCCGCCGCTGCCGTCTTCTGCTGCCGTCGGAGCTCTGGCCGAAGCAACCACTCCTGTCGCTGCTCCTGCCGCCGCCGGTGTCGCCGCCGGAGCTCTGGCCGAAGCCGCCACTTCCGTCGCTGCTGCGGCTGCTGCCGTTGTCGCCGTTGCCGCCGCCGGAGCTGCCACTCCCGTTCCTGCCCCTATCGAAGGGGTACACCACCCCTGGTACCGCCCCCCGTCTCCTCACGCCACGTGAAGATGTCGTACCGGGGTCGAAGGGGTGCGTCTGGACTCCAATCCAGGTTTCATCCAATCCCTCATCCCCGCTCCCATCACCACCGCTTCCTCGCTGCTGCCGCTACTGCTGCTGCCGCTGCTGATGCTCACATCCCCCTCAGCCTTCCCAGGGTCGAAAGGGTGCGTCGGGGCTCCACTCCATATTTCATCCAACCCCTCGTCCCCGCTCCCATCGCCGCCGCTGTCCCCGCTGCTGCAGCTGCTGCTACTGCTGCTGCTGATGCTGCTGTTGCTCACGTGCCCCCCGGCACATTGGCTATCAAGTTCCTCGAGGACTGGCAACGGCATGGTTGTCGCACCAACCGCTTCTTTCAACTCTTCGTTACATACCTCCGTCACCGGTGCCGCCGCCACCGACCCTGCGGTCGTCTGGACACCCGACGCCAACGCGGCGACCGGGGACGCCGCTGCTGCTGCCGCCGTTGCCGTTCCCCCCGTCACCGATGTCGCTACCGCCGCCGTTGCGGCCGTCTGGATACCCAACGCCAAAGCGGCGACCGGGGACGCCGCTGCTGCTACTGCTGCTGCCGTTCCCCCCGTCACCGATGCCGTCACCGCCGATGTTGCTGCCGGGGACGGCGCTCTGGCCGAAGCCGTCCGTACCGCCTCCGCTCCCGCCGATGCTGCTGTCGGTGACGGCGCTCTGGCCGAACCCGTCCGCGCCGCCGTCGGTCCTGCCGATGCTGTCGTCACCGCCGCCGCTGCGGCCGTCTGCATACCCATTGCCAACGCGGCGACCGGGGACGCCGCTGCTGCTACTGCCGCTTCCTACGATTGCTTGGGTTGTTGTGATTTCGCGGACGGCGAAACTACAACAACGTGATACGATCCGAGCATGTGTTCCTCTGCTACACGTCTGCTGCTGTATCCGCCCGCCATGAGATTCAGCTCGTCGCGTTGCCGCGCTACAGCAGGTGCTACACGTGATGTCGCGGGCCGCTGAGGAGAGCGAGTGGCGGAGTGTGTGTTTACGTTGAGAGAAGCTACGTTGGCGGGGGCTTTTACCGGCAAATACGCCGCAGACGAACCGGCAGCAGCCCCCCCCCCCTTTTCACCAACGAACACCCCAACACGCACCTGTCCACCTGTACCCCCGGTGAAGCCGTCCGCTAGCTGTCGTTGCCGCGGCTGTTGCTGAGAGTCACCGCCGTACACAACGCCTGGCTGCTGCTGCTGCCGACACACAGCCCCGCCGCCAAACTCGCAGTTCCTCCGCTGCTGCTGAAACGGTCCGCGGGCGAAAGCTGGAGCTGGAGCTGTAGTCTACCAGGAGCGCCGTTGCAGGACCGTAGAGGTTGCTGCTATTGACCAGGCTGCTGCTGTGACATGGGCTGCTGCTGCACCGATGGCTGTGGCACGAACCTCTGGTGCACGCACGGTTGTTGCTGCTGCTGCTGAAAAGAACACCCTCTGCCAAACACGCCGTACCTCCACTGCTGCTGGAACGGTTGCTGTACGGGAACACCTCCGCAGGACTGCTGTAGACCATGCTGCTGTTGGCGAGAAAAACCTCCCCAACAGTCCCGCCGAAAATGTCTACCGCCGACATGAAGAGCATGCAGGTCACCGGTCGGCGCTGCCTTCCGCCGCGCAACATTCCCGAGGTCTCCTCGGTGTGCAGGCTACGCACAAGATTCTCCAAGTCCTGCGCGTGAGCGAGCTGTTGGCCATGAAGAGAATGTGGACCTGTTCGTGGTCGGCGGAGAGGTTCCTTCGAAGCATCGCGAGGGCTTCTCTATCCGTGATCGCATCGCCGATGACGGCGCGGAGAGTAGACATGACGTCGAACCTAAGAAAAAAAAAGAAAGTACTCCTTTGGGTCCTTTCCAAGCTGCATCTTCATGTTCGTGAGAGACAGCTTCAGTGCCTCCTGCTCGGAGTCACTCATCGGCAGGCAGAACTGTTGTGCAGCCTCCCACGCCCCAGACACAGTCCCAACGGCAAGGATTATAGCTTGAAAGTTTGCCCCCTTCGTGGCGTGCATCAAATACTCAAACGCATACTCATGATGATCGCGCACGCGAAGCTCACCGTGCAAACGGACGTTTTCAGTAGCGCTTACGACTTTGTCGGAAAAGAATATTCTGAGGAAGTTTCTTGGTTCGGTTCTGGTCCTATGCCGGCAAAGGAGGGTCCGCTTCCCTCATATAGACAGCATAGAAAAGCATAGACATACGGCGAGCAGCAGTGCACGCAGGCGGCGCGACGCGCTTCGGATTGGCAGCTATGAGCGGGGTGGGAGGGGAAGACACGGGAATGGCCGTGCCCGCAGCTCACCGGGGTAAACTGCAACGCTCATGAACAAAACCACTNTTGCTTCTGCAGCTCCCCTCTTATGACATCTTTCGACAAGTTGGGAAAATTGCGCATCACACGCGTGTCGTAGACGATAGGCTTAGCGCGCATTTGAGGGAAGCAGC